CCATCTGCGCCATCCCCCATCTCCTGTGTTCCTGACTTTGTCTTGACACCGGATGCAGGTACGGGAGTGGGGAAAGAGTGGGATAGATTCTGCGCGAGTCTACTTTCACTATAATCCAGCACGAGTCACCACGTTTGCCTTCAGCTTGCTCAGGTTCGTGGTGGACATCGTCGAAATCGACGGTCGAGCTGTCATGGAGTATGACGCAATTCTATTTGGTGAAGTAATAATCGACCCATTAAAACTTGACCGAAAACGTTCAACAGACTTTTAAAGTAACACACCATTTACATAAGGGTAACCGTATAGCATTTCTATCCCATCCCTGTTATTCTCGCCAACACCGTTGTTACTCATATTTGTTGGGTAGTTAAGGTTGCTGTAATACAGTTTGTGTAGTTGATACTGTTCCTAGGTTTACGGTGGGCTCGAAATTGTCTTCCCCTTATATGTACATTGCCGTACCATTCTTATGTTTTTAACTTTCATGTTTGTCTGTAACTGGGAAATGATCCTACATACTTATCTTTCGACGTTTCCTGGATCCTACATGTCGAAAAATATAACACTGACTGCATTCTAAGATGGGAATGGGGAAGAGCCATGTAGACTTCTGCTAGAGATTTGTTCCAAACTTTTTACTTACCAATGTCTCCGTAATTTAAAAGATTCTATTAATATACTGCGTTGGCTTGGTCGCAAACAGCAGTTACTTGTTACTTTACCCGTAATTATTTCCTAGATTTCCTCTTTACGGACTGCGTTCTTAGCTACTAATTAATTGCTCATTTATTAGCCAAGTTCAGGTTCCTTGTCAATTGTCACACTATTATTAATCATTTGCTTGTTTTGGGACATTATCTGCTAAATGTACCCAACATTTTTTCGTAACACAGAACATTGCGTTTGCCACTAAAACATACCACGTTTTTATCTTAATCCGTTATATTCGATGGTGTTATTTCCATTTGCTGCTGGTGTATTCGAATTTATCTGTACACTTGGCTTCATGCTAATATTATGACCAATAAATCCGCCACGTCAGAGTTGGGATGTAACCTATAATTTCGTCGGTGGACTTAGTCTTATAATGGTCTTTAAATTGCGCATCTTAGCTTAATTTAACAAGAATTAAGGGGTTATACAATTTTCTGTACTTTTATCTAGGGCTATTTTTATGCTTATTTTTATTCGCTCCTCCCAAAAACCTTGTTGTCATCACTCCCATATGCTGGGTGTCCTCAGTTTAGTTGGAAAAAGGGTTGTGGTAATATTATAATCAAATCTTACTATCATAAGCTCAGTAAATAATCCACTAGCCTATGACGCCTACTGAGGCAGAAAAAGCCTTCCTAGTGTCCCATGTCTTTGCTGGTAATGTCCTTTTGCCTATAATCCAAACTATAGAATTATTTAATGCCTACGTCCCGATTATCACACCCCGACATCCCTTCTGCTCAAAGTTTAACACAGAGAATTTTTTATTCCTAATTTTAAGGAAAAGACCAATGAGATCATCCTCCTGAGAGAAAGAGCAGTTAATGCAGAAGAGAGAGCCGAGTCGCAACAACGCGAAGTAGAACGATTGTACGAACGCCTTTCTGAAACGGAAAGAGAGGCCACACGCCTTTCAAGAAGTCTATCAACAGAGCGATTCGAGAAGGAACGTATGCTCTCCGAAATACGGCTTACAAATATGCCGACTCCCATCAGACCATCACCCTACAATGCTTCGTAAGTTTTAGCGTATACCCTCAGCTACCTGCTGTTTCAAGGTAGCCATGGCATTGCACTTAAAATCTGTACAATACACAACATCCGACCCAATGTCCGAAATACAATTATGAGAACTCGACGAACTCTATCCTTTTTTCCAAAACTGGGTATTCGGTAAAGTGATTATACTTTTGTTGTTAAGCGCCCAACCAATCTATGATTCAGGATTAGGCACGGAAATGCAGTAATCAGCCACCCCTCCGATGTTTACTCGTAGATCTGGTTCCTATCCACGAGCAAAATGCAGCCGCATATTTTTTTATTCCTTTTTTTTAATCGAGTTAAGCGGATGTCGGGCCATTTAGATTATGGATAAAGGGCTTTGAAGAATACCCTTCATAATGAGTGCTGTCGTTTTCTTAGTCGAAACTTGAAGTTGGGCAGTTCTGACCTTTCAAAAATGGAAATCTGCTCTCTTGTCCCTCCCCCAGCACACGCAAATGAGGTAAGTTTATATAACAATGGCTGTGGCCTGCTTTTTGTATTCCTCGAGCACGCTGAAGGTACGCGCTACTGTACAGATGCACGTGGGCAGCTGCATTCGGTGTGCTAAGCTATCAGTTGTCGCTGGAAATCACTTTGCTTATCCTGTACAAGATGTTAACACGTCCATTCGTTTTGTTTTAGCATTGGCACAAACCGCTACGTCTGCCACTCCATGGGTCGTCTACGTTCGCCATTTCAAGAAAGAGAGGATATCTAGCTATTAACTTCACATAGCAATCTTGCACTTCTCACTGTCTTCCCTCAACCTTTAATACATCTAGATATATATCCTTTTCTGGGATGTTGATATGAAGGTAAAAAGTGGTATTCCCCTCCCTAACACCGCTGACTTCTCTCTGCCAAGGCTACTGTTCTCTGTCAATTTTCGGGGTTTTGGCAGAATGTTTTACAAGTTTTCCACTGTCCGAGAGGACAACTTCCCATAACCTCCTGCTTACTGTTGCCCCATCTCAATCCCCTAGGTGCCCAATATTTTAAATTGATATTTCACAGGCGTCGATTGGACTTTAATCGACGAGCCTGATCTTGCTATATAATCCAACTATCGGGTGGATTTTTGTTGCCAAGATCTAACCAGTCACTGCCTCCTTTTAAGACTCTGCTTTCTTTGATAAATAAAGCTGGCACATGATAGGTGTGCCGGCACATCGGGGCGGTCTCGATTTAGGAGTGAACCGTGAGCGAGACACTGCCAGCAGCTTTTGTAGGACGGCTACATACCATCATAATCTTAATAATCAGTTCAATCTCATCTTGTCGGTGATGCCACCTGTTGAAACACCCGTTAGTTCGCTTCTTCCAACCGGGACCACCATGAACTGATGGCGATGGTGACATAGACGTGAATTTGACTATCTTGAGGGAGGGCTAAATGGCATCAAGTTTGGACTCGATCATTAGCCTCATGTTGTTTAAATCGTGTGGGAGCGTGGAAGTGAGACGGGCGCGGTGCATGATCGCATATATTGTAGAATGCTCTCTAGTGCGACTTGCCTCTGGTGGCGGTCACTGGCCCGTCCTGATTGAAGGACGGACGACAAACTGTTTCGCCTTGCTCTCGAACTCTAGTCTAAATTTCCGAGGACGGTGTCGCGACAAAGGGCTAAAAGTGTTAACCAGAAAAATGGTAGCAGTTGGCGTAGTTGACTAGCCCTGACCTAATGACAGTTACCGGTCGGTCATAACCCGAACTTTGAAACTAGTGATTAATTACCGAGTCCATCCATCAACTGCGTTCTATTAGAGAAGCTGCGGGTTAACTTTTCGACCGCCATTGTAAATATGTAAAATTCACCTTTGTCCGAATCTTCGATCTTCCTGACCTGCGACTGAATGATAGCCGGCTAATGACCTCGCAATGGTTTTGTGTGGAGACACTGGCCAATTGCAGCTGTTTGATGGTTGGCGCAGCGAGGCTAGCGCTCGTAGGGTCAACTGCATTACAAGTAGTAGAGAGTTGGCAAGAAAGACTTAAGACAGCACACAGTGTTTCCTCACGTTGAGAGGTCATGTTTGGCAGCTATTAACAAACAGCGTTACAGAGGCCCGCCATTTCAGTGATGATTCTTAACTTGGCCGAAGAAGGAAGAAGTGGAGCATGTTGAAATCCTGATTGTATAGCTAACATACTGGGGGTCCGTTCACTCAGGCCCAGCGCTTATATTTCTCAACAAAAGCAGTCAAACGCACCGTAAACCAATTATGAGTTGAGGATTGTTGAACTGCGTGATCGATGACTTTATCCTACTAGTGACTGTGGGTCCGATTTAAATGTTTTGTCAGTGTAGTTTTTATGGCCCTCTAACGTAAGATTCAGCTCTCTCTCCCCCTCCCCCCTCCCCAGCCGATACAGCCTCATATGCATAGAGTTAGGAACCAAGGTGTGCGTGGCGCGTGTATACGGACTGTTAAGTTTCGTCATTCATTGCTCTTAGGCTATTTCCGGTCCTAGACCTCTCTCCTAGTTGCATTTGGCAGGTGACAATAGCGAGGAAGGTGTTGCACTATTCTGCCTGTGGTATGATACAGTAGAACTCCAGCGAACGAACTACTTTAAGGAAAAATGCATAGTCTCCGCAGGCAAAAAATGTAAAAGGTACAAAAAGTAGTGCAGAAACAGCAGAAGCATTTATTGCAGCAAATAAATTAAGTCAAGATCTATGTCCCTTGAAGGCATGTCGTGTCAGCCAAATCCTATCGCCACACGTCTTCAATGTAGCGATGCTCTTTCCTTAACATGGCCAGATAGCTTTGACCTCGTTTTATCTCCTCTGGAGTCAGTACTTGACCTTTGGATAGGTCGATGCACACGCTCCCAGTTGCCAACCGACGTGCAAAGAGCTCAACCCAGGTGGAGGCGACTGCGGGTACCATCCCCTTGGCGTCACCGCAAACCTAAAACCGCAGGAAAGGTAATTTAGATGTTGAAACGCCTACAGGAGGGCAGTGAGCCCAGCTGAGATCAAAGATCAGGGAAAAATCTAAGAGTATTCTAAAGACTCGGAAGTATGATCGAAGGGAACACCTCAGCTGGGGCAGGAGGCTCTAAATAACAAATCGTGGTAAGATCTTGTGGGACCGTTTACATAGACAGCCTCTTTGGCAATTATAGGGAAGTTGGAAGATGGCAGAATATGAATCTCTTCCGAGGCCTTGTAGATTCAATTTAATAAAACGATTACGAAAGTAGTCTAAAGCCAAGGGTTATCCAAGAAAGTCGATCAATGGCCTGAGACAATGTGCGCACACTATTGGCACACTACAATTTCCACAAAGTTGGACACGGTAAGACAATAAAAACAACAATTATCATAATAGAATTACTAATAATAATAGCCAAAGAAAGACTTCGTACTCGAACGTGGGCACCACAGTCCATCACAAGATGGGTCAGTTGGTCGCCATGAGAAAGTAACTGGGGACTGCGCGCCGATTCTCGCATAGAGAGATCTTCGAAGGCAGTCACAACGTCGGCGGGACATTCGCCGGCGCCAAATGCGGCCATGCGACAATCAGCCGCCAGCATGCACTCTTGAACATACTTGCACCTCTCTGGCAAGCAGGCGCGCTGTAGAAGGTCACGAAGGTGGGGTGCAGGGGGCAGACTAGTGTCCGAATTAGCCTGGAATGGACGACGCGAGAAGCAGAGGCAAAGGTGGCTCAGGGTGCCGTCGCGTAGGAAATCCAATAAGGCGGTCGGAACGAGGATATCAAAGTGCGAGTCACGACAGCCAAAGAGAAGCCAAGTCGCTTGGAAGCCGGCACCCTAAAAGACAGGAGAGCCTGAATCACTTAAGTGTGTAACAATCAGCTTGGACCCGCACAGCATGGCAAAAAACATTGCCTCTACAAAATAGGCAGATAGAGAAAAACAGGTCACTTTTTCGATTGGTATAAAGTGCTGTCAATTTGACGGCGGGGACTACGGAAATATCCAGCTTAGACCTAACTAAGCGAATTATCTGAGTTTGAACACACCCAATTAAGTTAGCTTTAAAAAACGTCATATAAGCGTTAAAGTTTGCGAAAAACTGACCAAATTCTTCAGTCTTGATTATAATTGCAGATCCGAAAAGCCGCAACCAAACAAACCAAATGTGTACGGCCCATAATTTATATAAGGTAAACCACATGTAATAGGCCCAATACACAAAGTGACATGCTCACATGCACTTAATGTGTTTGGGCTGCAGCAGGCTAACCAAACTCGCGTAGCAAAAACTAAACGACGCATGCTTCACGCTTCGAACGCAAATAAGACCCACACATACAAAAAACGGCAGTCGCAATTTCACGCAAAAAAACACCAGGATAAGCAACACCTTGGGGTCCATTTTTCCACATTTCTCGGGAAATAGACACCCTGACTTAAAACACGTCGTGACCTTCTTATGCGGCAAACACCCTTTCAATGCGCCATGTCAATCTATGTTTCGCCCGATGAACACCGAAACCAAATTGGCTCTCGGTTGCTTACGGCGACCGCACTATTTACAAAGCTTCACTTCTACATATACCAAAAAAACTCATCAATCCACCTACGGTCAAAACATAGAAAAGAGCCCTGACTAGCAACACCTCGGTGTATAAATGTGTAGCAAGCACCCCTTCAATGCGCCATGTCAATCTATTTTCCAACCGATGAACACCGAAACCCAATTGGCTCTCGGTTGCTTACTGCGACAACTGAAAACTATATCTCTGCTAGCGGTAACAGCTCTTACACTCAATCGTCCGTTGAGATGGCGAAAAAAAACATGCTTACATTGCTCATCGGAGACAGTCACCAAACCACTTCCTTGTACACGCTCAGCCAACTAGTTGCGTTCCATAAACACAAGAATCCTGATTAGCAAAACGTCGGCGTCACCTTCTGTGGCAAACACAATGTGTATCAATGTGTGGCAAGCACACTTTCAATGGGCCATGCCAATCTAGTTTTCGCCTGATGAACACCGAAAGCCCATTGGCTCTCGGTTGCTTACGGCGACCGCAATATTTACAAAGCTTCACTTCTACATATTCCAAAAAACTCATCAATCCACCCACGATCAAAACAGAAAAGAGCCCTGACTAGCAACACCTCGGTGTATAAATGTGTAGCAAGCACACTTTCAATGCGCCATGCCAATCTATTTTCCACCCGATGAACACCGAAAGCCAATTGGCTCTCGGTTGCTTACGGCGACAAGTG